AACATTGTCTCCCTAGTGTAAGAAACTGAAAGAGTAAATAAAACCTAAAAGGTACAATAGATATTGTGACAGGGAAAGAAATTGCTCAAAGGGAAAGAACAACTGGGATGAGGGAAAAGAGAAATAGAAAAAAGAAGGAAGGAAAAAATATATATATGTATATAGAAGGATAGCTGGGATAATTGTACTGCAGATGTCTATTGGTTTATTGAAAGGAACAGTTAATGCTTAATTTTTTACCAACTTTGCATGCTTATATCTGGTAATCTGAACAACTACTTTGAAGCCAACAATATGCAATATAACAACCACTGATGAAGTCCTACCATCTTGTTTACTGAAGCTTTGTATTGTTTCTAATGGTTTTTTATATCATTTTTTATTCTCTTTAATGGTTTGATCAATCTTGTATTCTTACATTTGGTAATCTGAGCAACTCCTCTGAAAATAACAGTATATAATACAACAACCACTGTTAATTCCTACCATTTTGCTTTGAAACCCTGCATCATTTTTATTATTTTTGTGTTTTGTTTTTGTCTATATTGTTGTTCTTTGGGGGTTTTTAATTCTCTTTACAATAAAAAAAGGAATCAATTCAGTAAAAAGATGTAACAGTCCTAAATGGGTATGTATCAAACATCAAGGATACAAAATATATAAAGCAAAAACTGACAGAAATGAAAGGAGAAATAGACAAATCTAAAATTATAGATGGAGATTTCAATAGCCCATCCCCAAAGACTGACAGAACAAGTAGAAAGAAAAACCAGAAACAAATGAACAAGAACATCATTGTCAAGAAGGATATAATTAACATTTATAGGACACTCATTCAACAAAAGCAGCACACAAATTATTTTCAAGTGTCTATGAAACATACACCAAAATTGACCCAGATGAACAAATTTGAAAACTTAAATCATATGGAATGTGTTTTCTGGACACATTGGAATAAAACTTGAAATTAATAGCAGAAAGATACCAGGAAGACCTTTAAACATGCAAAATAAACAAGATATTTCTAAATAATCTATGAATCAAAGAAAATTTAAAATACACTGAACTAAAAATTTAAAATACAATACACTGAAATAAAATAAAGCATCGAAGTTTGTAGGACACAAAGAAGCACTGAGAGAGAAAATTTATACCACTAAATTCTACATTGAAAAAGAAAGTTTTCAAACCAATCATCTAAACTCTCATCTCAAAAACCTAGATAACTTCTGAGCATGGTAGAGCATGCCTGTAAACCCAGCACTTGGGAGGCAGGAGAACCACCATGAGTTTAAGCTCAGCCTGAGCTAGACAGGGAGTTCAGGGGCAGCCTGAACTACAGAGCAAGACCATGTCTCAAAAACAAACAAAAAAGGAAACCTAGAAAATGAAAGGCAGAATAAACCCAAAGCAAGAAGGAAAGAATAATAAAAATCATAAATCAATGATATTAAAAGTAGAAAAGCCATAGAAAAAACTCACTGAAACAAGGAGTTCTTTAAAAGATTAATGAGATCAGTTATGGTTTAAATATGAAGAGTTCCTGAAAGTATCCTGTATTAAAGGCTTGAGCCTCACTGCAGCCATGTTCAGAGGTGGGGCCTAGAGAACTGACTGGAACAGAGGGACACTAACTTCATCAACAGATTAAGTCGTGGATGAGTTCATAGCTCAGTAGCTTATTGGAAGGTGGAGTCTAGCTGAAGAGAGTAGGTGTTGGGGGATTACGTTTAAAAGTATATTTTACCCCTTGCCTCTTCCTCTCTGGAAGCTTTCTGCTTCCTGGCTGTCATGAGGTGAGCAGCCTCCTCTACCACATCATCCCACCACCATGATATTCAGCCTTGCTCCAGCCCCCAGGCAATAGAACCAGCCAGCCACTGCCTGAAACCATGAACCAAAATGAACTTTTCCTCCTTTAAGCTGATTTTTTTTTCAGGTATCTTGTCACAGTGACAGGAAGCTGACTAACACAACTGGCAAACTTCTAGCAAAACTGACAAAGAAAAATAAGAAAGAAGACTCAAATTATCAATATTGAGAATTAAACAGGAGAAATCACTCTGAACCCTGCAGATATGATACATAATAAGGAAATACTAACAACAACTCCACACACATAAATTTAATTAGTTAGACAACATGAATAAATTCCTTAGAAAACTGCAAACTAATGCAATATGACCAGACAATTTAAATAGCTCTCAATTCATTCATAATTTTAAAATTCAAAAAAAAAAAAAAAACCCTCCAGACCCAAATGGCTATGTTTAATAAAAAAAAAAAAAAAAAAAACCCTCCAGACCCAAATGGCTATGTTTAATAAAGACTGAACACCAATTCTACGCAATCTCTTCCAGGGAACAGAAAATGGAGGAGTAATCATTTTGTGAAGTTAGTATTACCTTCATACCAAAACCAGAGGAGAGGGAAAAGGAGAAAATTTCTTCCAATTTGCAGATGACATGCTTGTCTATATATGAAATCCCAAAGATCTACAAATAGCTCCCAGAACTAGTGAGTTCAGCAAAGTTACAGCATACAAGGTGAATACAAAAATCACCATATTTCTATACACTAGCAATGAAGACGTGGGCTCAGATACTAAAAGTATACCATGTAGAGTCAATCAAAAAAATTAAAGCTAGGTATAAATCAACATAACAAGTTCAAACTTATGAGCCAAAAACTACTGATAAAAGGAGCTAGAGGAAAATTAAATCAGTGGAAATATATTTCATATTTGTGGATTAGAAGACTCAGCATAGGAAAGATTCAATTCTCCTCAGACTGACATACAATTGTTATGAAATCCTTACCAACATCCTAGCAAGATTTTTGGTAAATATATACAAGACTATTTTGAAATTTATATGGAAAAATAAAAGAACCAGAATGGCTAAGACCATTTTGGAAAAGAAGAATAAAGTGGGATCGTTCTCTCCAATTTCAAGACTTACTGCCTTGCTCTGTTTATCAAAATGGAAACACCAGTGATTAAAGGAGCAGAATAGGGAACCCAGAAATAGCCCCACGAAAAATGCCCAATTGAATTTTCACAGAAGTGTGAAAGCAATTCAATGGAGGAAATAGCACCTTCTCAACCAATGTTGCTGGAATAATTCGACATCCACAGACAAAAAAAAAAAAAAAGAATCTTGACTGAAGTCTCACATGAATCGCAGACATGGATTTCAAACATAAAACTACAAAACTTTTAGGGAAAAAAAATGGTTAAAAATATTAGGGCTCTAGCCCTTAGCAATGAGTTCTTAAACTCAACATCAAAAGTACAACTCCACATGAGGAAAACTTGACAATTTGGACTTCACCAAAGTTAAATGATTTTGCTCTCTAAATTTCCTATTAAGAAGATGAAGACAATGACTATCTGATGCTGAGGCAGGAAGGATTGCCACCAACCTGGACTACACAGTTGAGTTCAAGGCCAGCCTGAACTACATAGCAAGACCCTGTCTCAAACAAGTGTATAGATAGATGGTAGATAGATAGATGATAGAT